TTGAGTAACGTAACGGAATACGTTACAGAATACATTTTGGGGCATGTATTCTGTAATCTGTAATGGAATACATTTTAAAAGTAACCTTCCCAACACTGTTCACAAATCAAACCAAATAAACAGACGACAAACACAAAAAACAAATCTAAAGCCTCTTTAATTGAATAAAAAAAATACAATAAATTTCCTCTGCTTTCAGCATCTGAATGTTTAAATTAGTAAGTTTACTAGTGTAGTTCATAACTAGGTTAAAACAATATAATTTCATTGCATTATGGCTTCCAAAATTGTCACTAGTTGACTGAAAAACTTGCTAAACCGAACACTAAAACATTGTGCTGTAAGGTCTGTTCCGCCATTGTTAGAAGTTAATAATTGGCCATATCTGTGAACCTTGTGAGGGAGAAAATGATGCAGGTTTGAGCTATGATGCCATGAGTTTAATATTTAGCTGAGTGGGAAACAGTTTGAAAGGTAACATATCAGCAAGTAACTGTGAGCTATTTAAATTTTGGCTAATAAGTAACGTGGAATCAAAGCTTGGTATGTGGTATGTGTGTACCAGGATACAGATGAAATACAAAGCTGAAGTGCACGTTGTATTTATATATGCTGTGAGCAGCTTTACTTTATCCCCGAGGAATCAGATATCATCATGAAATCCAAGGAGGAGGAAGAACAATATTAAGAACTGTAGTTCCCCACATTTATTCGTGCCTTCAGGGCTGTTGAAGGATAACAGATGGTTAGTTATTAGCGGAGTCTACTTCCTTGTTTGTACTAACTAGCACAAAATCGTGTTCTTTTCAGCTGTTACAGTGAAACTTTATCACACGCTACTGAGCTTTTGTGTGTTTTTTTTAACCATCAAAATAGAAAATGTGATACCTAAACAAATCTGTGTGTAAACATTTTGAGGTTTCTAATTGAATTTCTGGTTACTGAACACTTACACATTATCATTATGTGTAGGAAAATGTACAGATGAAATAATTCCCCACGAGTGTGATTTGCAAGGATTTCTGTTCGAGAAACAGCTTGATGCTGCCATCAGGTCAAATGAAGTTTCGGCTGGTTTGACCTGATAGCAGGTTCACTCTCCTTTCACGCAGAAGGAACAAAAAAATCCTGCATACATATCCAGCTTTGAATTTCAGCAGTGACCTGTGACATTGAACAGCTGGTTGGTTTTGATGCTTTGAATCTGTTCAAAACTAAATGCTGACCTCTGCTGGTGCAAAAATGATTTACCTTGTTTTTTTTCTGTGTTAATCTCTGCAGAGCACCCAAGCACAAAATATCTGTAAGTACTGGTTCCTCATTTATTCATGTGCTCTCTGTTTAACATTTTGACTTTTTATAGCTCAAAACTGAAGTTTTGTGAATTTCTCACTGTTGTCCTGAATGTCTTGGTTTTCTTGTTCTTCTTTTTAGCAAATTGTGCAACAGGAACCTTAAATATAACAACCACCACAACAATAGCAAAAGTCACCTTTCCACTTGACTCAAACTGCAGCTTAACAGTTGGCAGTAATACGTCTGAAAAAGGTTTAATAACTGGTCTGACTCCTGGAGCTGTCTATCAAATTGTCTTAAACTGTTCAGGCTCCTGCGATGTGTCAAAAATCACAACAAGTAAGTCATTTTATTTTTCTTAAATATATAAACTAATGATTCTGTGAGTTGGATGACAGTGATGTTAATATTCTTTTATAGCCAATAATGAGAATATGATGAACTGATTCTTTTCCTGTTGGCGTATCTCTAATTCACAGAGCCAGAAACGGTCAGTTTAACAGTCACTAGTATCACAACATCCTCTTTGTTTGTGAGCTGGACTAAACCAGTGGGAAACAGCTCCTTCTATAAAGTACAGTGGACAGGTGGAGGAACGAACTTCTCTGTAAATGTCAGTGACACGTCTAAGAACATTACTAACCTGACTGCTGGTGTCCAGTATGAAATAAATGTCACTGCAGTAGCAGATGATAATTATACTGAAGGACAGAGTGCTACTGTCACCAAGTACACAAGTAAGTGAGCATTTAAATGTTTTTCATACCGTGAATTAGTGACTGTCTGCTGAGGATATCTGGTAAAATAAGGAGTCTTCTATCATCATAAGATAAGTTAAATTGAAAGGAAAGTAGAAGAAGAA